CTTCAGGAGCTTGAGTTTGAAGATGCTTTTATTAAATGAATTGAACAATGGAATCAAAGTTAAACTTAATTAAATTAATGTTTTATTCAGTCTTTAAAAATTCTTAATGCTGGGTTAAACTACCAAGTGTAACCTATCCTTAGTGTTACCTCTATAAATTAAAGTCAGAATCTCTTTAACTTCAACAGAATATCTAGCCGAAAAAAGTAATCTTTCGCAATAATTTGTCCAGATAAGTAATCGAACCCTAGACCTTGCACTTTTCGGTCACATGTTTGTACATTAAGCTATTGCCAATAGGCTGTCCATCGGTTAACATTTCAGGTCCATTCTGACAATATTCCATTATAAGGTAATCTTGTAGGGCTCGTTCCGATTTCTCCCGCAACACTTCAAGTTCCTGATCCGTTCCTGAATCTAACGTTGCCCAAAATGCCCAATTATGGCTTGATCTCGTACATTAAGCAGTTGAAGTATCTAAACTTCTGAAAAAGAACAAATTTGGAAATGGCTGGATTCGAATCGACGATCTTCGAGTTACCATACCAAATTTGAGCCAAGCGCCTTACCTATTCGACCAGCAAGGCACTTAACTGCTTCATGATGATGTTTATTAGCAAAGGAACCTCAATTGTTCATTCAAATTGTGACCAGGTGCTTTGCATGGTATATACCCCGCACATGATGTTGATGTCCTTTACTCACTATATTGTCTACTATACTAATTCAATTATTAATTAACCCAGGATTGCCAAGTAGTATTAGATCGAATAAGAGTTCGTATCCCCGACGGATCCTAAATTAAAGTTTGTCGTGATGTCTTCATTAAGTGTGAGAAAAAAATTTTCAAAACAAAAAAATTCCTAAATCACGCCAAACTTTCTATTCCTGTTGAAAATAAAAAAAAAAGAGCAAGTAAATCTGACAAATAAAAATAAAAGTTAAATATCACATTTATTGGATTAAACTCATTTAAACCGAACCCCAACCAGCAAAAAAAAGAACCAACTATAGTCGAATTCAGTTCTCAGCACTTTTAAATCCTTTTTCTAAAATAATTTTTTCCTTCCTCATGAAATGAATGAAAACTAGAAGCATTGCGGTTGATTATAAAAATGCTGGGTATTATGAAGAGGATGAAAATTGTAAGTCACATATTAAAAAATTATGCAAAAGTGTGTCTCGTCTAATCCCACAGTCAGAATACTTTGAATTATAAATTTTTATTAGATTTACAATGTAATCGAGAGTGAGTAATAAGCATCATCGCTTATTAACAAAAAGGGGTTGTAAGAGTGTAAATTTCAGCATACGCTCAGCGCCCGAATATCAATTAAATGTTGTTTGTTTTTCTCATCGAATATGAAAAAAAAAGTTTCGAATGATTTGCCAAATAAAAAGTGAATTACATCTTCAAAAAAAAAAAAAATATTCATAAAGTCAATAAATTCAACAGCAACCGGCAAAAAAACAAAATCAGCTCAACTGATTTTACCCTCAACTCAATTCTACACATTCCCACTCGTACAAACAATGCTGCAGTAATTTCTGTATATATACATAAAAAAAGGATATTCGTATTATGTTACCATGAGAAAAGCCGATGTTTTGTTTACTTAGCATTCATTGTAATCGGATTTATAAATAAAAAAGAAGAAGAAGAAAGGAAAAAGAGATTGCGTACCATCCCCTCTTCTAAATAGCTTAACTCTGATGTCTTTTATTTCATCAACATTATCATCATCGTGAAAATCTCACTCATTTTATTTTTGAGATATGAAATTTTCCTTCTTTTTTTCTGGGACATAATTTTTTGGGAATGGAAATTGTGAGCTGTTTTGTCATGGGCTGTCTGTTACGTCTAAATGGGTAAAGTAAGTCAATTTCTACCCGATGTAGCCTCTCTCATGAATAAAAATTCGATTTATTGAATTTTGAAGTTTAAACAAAACTTAACTTAATGGTTTGCAGAGCAGCCTTATGCCTCTACTTAGTCATATAATAGAAGGTGCCTCAGAACGATCCGTTAATCAGCCCACGAGACCCATTCCCTCTTAAAAAGTTGATCCCCTACCTCAAATATTATCGAATGCCTTTTAAAGGCTCCAAGATATCCTGGATGTGGGTAGGTTACGGAATGGTTTAGTATTTTGGTACCTAATTATTGCACAACCGACAGAGCAATCATGGGTTCGAGACTCAGCATGGGAAATTATTACTTGTCCATTTTTGAATTATATGTACTGGAAATGAAACTCCCAGCCTTCCTTTGTAGGCATCAGGCAGAAATGTAATCAGAGAAGTGGTGTGGATTCCACTATTAAATTTAGGTCTATGTTTGAGCGGGAGGTCTGGCGAATCCTCGCTTGTTATACTATCATTCGCCTTATAACGCACATAACGGGTTATCTGATTGATGAGAATATCCATAAGCAGCAATTATCTGGACATTATTAGTTTTATTAAGGACATAGGATATACATCATAGAAAACTTGGGAAGGTACAACAGATCTTCGATCGCAGTGCTGTTTTTGTTTTAAGCAAAACCCTACATCACTTTCTAAAGCACATAACGCACAGCTATGGATCTTAAGGTCTGAATGCTAAATCTTATTTATTTTAAGATGTCCTTAACAATTCAATTCATCGACAAATAAATTAGCAAAATGCAAAACCACTTCTAATTTTCCTACGCAAATTTCCCAAAACATCACATTCCGAAAATGCGTTTCCTGAACGCACATCCTTCCATTCACCCATTCATACTAGCTTCCTTCTTCCTTTTGTACTTTGATTTAATAATAAATGTAATATGTATAATGATGCGAGGGATGAAGATGATGATGTGTTAGAGGGAAGAGCTTGGCATATGCTTCGCATGATATGGTAATTACGAATAATACTTTTTATGATTGATGTTTATACGACACAAAATTTAATTAACATTTTTATTTGTACAATAAATTATTCATAATAAAATTTTAATTTAAACGAGAGAAGAGAAAAAAAAATTATTTTTAACGCCCTAAATAGTCGCAAGCTTGCCGTTGTGCGCTTTTTTTTACGGGCTGGTATAATGTGAAAATAAATATTCATATTTTTCATAAGCTTTATTACAACATTTATTTGAGCTAAATGTGCAATTTTCAAGCAGCTCAATTTTATTTTATTTTACGATCAAAATTCATAATAATCATCACTTGACTCGCTAAGTCTCAACTATATCAGCCGTAAGTCTCCTTTTCTTTCATATTATATTTTAATTTTATTTTATTATTATTAGCATACTACTCAATAATCATTTAACATTTATTATTATTCATCATCATATACGGAGGATATTGTGGTGCGATAATTGAAGTTTCTACTTCGCGCGAAATTTGAATGTTAAATATTTGATTATTTATCCACATCAGCGCAGAGAAATACACAGGAGATCAGTGATTGTAATTAAATATTAATTTTCATTTTACTACTGCGAACTCACCTCGAAAGAAGAAGAAGAGGATAAAAGCTATATAATGATGTATGTCTGTCAAGATTCGAAAGGTTATTTGGGTGTGTTGTGATAGTCGCAACGCAGTTTTTCGTGATTTTAAGTATATTCACAGCCACAATAAGATCAAGACGATGTTAAAGTATGATAAGAGTTTAAATTCACATTTTGTGAGCCTTATCAACAGCTACTAGTAGCTAAGTGGTAGATTCAATCAATAAACATTTGTCCGTAATGTAAATTGAAGATTCAGGTTCGATTCTTACTCCAAATCAACTCTATGCTTAGTTTTTGACCAGAATCTTGATTGCCACATATTAAAAACACTATTAAGCTAAAAGTTGACCTAAAATCGAGTTACAGACATTTCCAACTCGCTAGCAATTGACTGTGTTTGCGAAACGGCTGCTGCTAGGTTTGCAGTATGTCAATTATTCCTATAAAAATAAAAAATCAAGTGCTACACCCAAAAATTTACTAAAATTCATCCAATCAAACTAGGGAGCTTATTTACTATAATTTTACAATTACAGCCAATAAAACCCGTCCATTTTCCACGTTTATACAAAAAACCATAATGTTGATGAGCACCATCATGAATGGATGAACGATAATTGTTATTTTATGCAATTTGTACAAGACTTTTTCTGTAAAAATGCCATAAATATTGTTTTAAAAAAGTAATTACATTAAAAAAGCTATTTTAATGAATTCTCAATATACAGCGTATAAAAATATTTCAACTCATAAATTAAACGGTCCGACAATCTCCAAAAATGATGAAATTTCTTGTCACATCTCCTCATGTCAATAGTGCTCGAACGTACAATAAATATGCATGAGAAATATAATTTTAGATTTTTTTCAACAGTCAGTTAAATGAGCAAATATTAAAACACGATTAATGAATTATCTTTTGTTTGCACACATAATTTATGGTTCCAGATCAAATGACATTTTTCAATTTTCTCTCTTTCTCACCCGGGCTCGCTAACTACTTATCGCTCTTACACTTTTTTTTCATATTCAAAGTTCTTTTTTTTTGACAGAAAATTGGATCAATTGTGTTTACTCAAGTACCGCTGTGCACGCATATACCGTATGTGTGCACACATTACTCACATAAAATAAAATTCCATTTGCAATGTAGTGAGGAACATATATGCAGATATATTTTATACAACAGGCGAAAAAGTTGATATAATAATAATAAAAATCTAGTAGGAAATACTCTGATTTGGCACGAGTCCAAGAAGCATTTAAAAGAGAATTATTGACTTTTTTGGATAAAATATTGTCGATTGGAATTTGAAGTTTATTGAATGTCTCTCGATTCTGTGAATATGATTGGGTTCGAATAAACACTGTTAAAGATATATGATCTGTGAGTCTATCTGGTTAGAAACTTATACATCCTCATGAAGTTTGATCTTAAAACTTAGAAGATTCTAGTCCAGGAGTGCTTAAATTCCACCAAATCCATAATATCCTGATGATCCTGCTTTATACCTTTGTCTTTGCATTGTCTTTGGATTGTCTTTGGATTGTCTTTGCCTTGTCTTTGCCTTGTCTTTGCATTGTCTTTGCATTGTCTTTGCATTGTCTTTGCATTGTCTTTGGATTGTCTTTGCCTTGTCTTTGCCTTGTCTTTGCCTTGTCTTTGCATTGTCTTTGCCTTGTCTTTGCCTTGTATTTGCCTTGTCTTTGCCTTGTCATGGCCTTGTCTTTGCATTGTCTTTATTTTGTCTATTATCTAAAACTGTTACATAATTCAACAGAACAGCCAAATTCATAAAACAGCTTTCATCCTTAACTTCCATAATAGTCAGCTTCTCAAAAAATATAAGAAGAAAAAAACTCTTCCATTTTTTTGCTATTTAGATTTTCAATCTATTTTACAGCTACAGCTAGGAGAAAATAAATTGAATAGAATTCAAATTGATTCAAGAGCAATATAGATGCAAATAAGCTTTTGTTAGTAAAATTGTGATTGAGTTTTTCTACCCATTTTCACAACACACTTCTAAACGGAGATGGAGTTATAGCTAATGATGTGATTTCATTGCCATGAAAGGTAAATATAAAATGAAGAGCATGAAAAGTTCGAAAGAATTCAATTCAATGGAACGATGGTGGTGGTGATGATATCAGGTATAGGGATTTACATGATATTGCTAGCAATACTATTAAGATATAGCAGCTAAAATCACATTCAAGAGAATTAAATTGCAAAATTATTTAGATTCAATTTTCTTTTCTTATTATTCCATCCCAATGCGCGAACATTATTGAATATAAAAATAATAAAAGAAGAAGTTGTTGACATTATTGTTGTCAGGGTATGGTAATTTTTTTTTTCTTCTGAATTCTTCAAAGTTTAGATTAATTTTTGTCTCATGGGAGCTGATTGAAAACTTAATAGAATGTCATTAAAAATGAGGAAAATTGTGTGAATTTAAGTGACAATCTAGCAACGCAGAGACGTAGCAAGTGTTTTTATGACACAAGGTCGGTTTAATCGATATGCATCGACTCCTACCTTAGGGTATCTACCTACACCTAACCTAGGGTTTACCTTAATGTATAAACTAGAGGTATGTGTAGGTTTCGAAGGAGGTATAGGTTTAGGGATATGAGTAGGTTTAGGTATATAAGGAGGTGTCGCTCCCCTAAATTAGGTGCAATTTCTAAGACTTTCAAGACTACCTTAGGCCACTGGCACCAACCCCACTCAATAGGCACAAAACATTCCATTTAAATCACTCGATCAGATACCGACAGTAACTATGCATTGATTATGCAAATGAAGGAATTCTGTTACTTGCTGAATAAATAATTAACAATTACCTTTTTTAACAGCAAAGTAATTACAAGGCATAATTACAAGGCAGCCGTTAACTTTCGAACAATACATGCTTTTTAATAGCAGAATAAAAACAGAACTAATCCAGCACATTACCGAGTCATGAATTGCTACTCGACAGCATATTCTATGTGCACACTCAGACTCCCTGAACACATTATAGAAATTTATACAAATACCTGCCCATGGTATATACTGCAAGAATATTATAATAATAAAAATACTCATTTTAATGAGAAAACAAAAAAAAAGAGTTTGTTGAAGAAGGAAAGGAAAAGAATGGAAGATTGTGAAAAAAAAAAGGTAGAATTATTTGCATAGAATCGGTCTCGTCGACTTTGTCGTTCCTTGTTTTCATGCTAAATGCCATTTTAACTCTTTCTCTTTCTCTCACTCTTTCTTCATCTACGTGTGTATAGTTAAAACACAGAGCACAGAAAAGAAAATAATAATAATATTGAAATAAACATAAAAAAGCAAAAAAAAAAAAAATATTGTAGAGAAGGAAACATAAAATGTGCAAATAAAACTCAATATAAAGGCAAATTAGTGAAATGAAATTTTCAAAATTCCTCAGTTGCCTGTTATTGGCATTGTTCAAAGAAGTGAGAGAGTGAGCGAGAGATTGGAATGAGAAGTTGTTTGTACAGGCAAGTAGCAATATATGCTGCATAGTTTGTTCGCTTTATATATCTACATGTACATGGTATAAGACCCCGAAACAAAATACAGAATAAGTAATTTGCATTAATTTTTATTTTTGCGCATTTTTTAACTTGATAATTCAATTACCACTCTACCTTACATGAATTTCTTTTTTCTTCTTTACTTCTCTCTTTTCCTCTCGCGCGTTCTGTTTTATTATTTTTAAATAAAGATACAGACTTTTTCGAATTGAAAGTTAGGTAAATAGACTTGTCCTGTGAAGAGGACTGCGGAGCATTTTCTTGTACGATAGCTTCTGTATACTTTCAAGCTAAAGATTGATTGTTTACAGCAACAGTAGTTTGATTGTTGTAAACACAAGCAACCTAGGTTTGATCCAAAAGAGTCGTAGCTAGTTGCGCAACTTATGAGTGACTAGCGATCATTTTGTTACTGGCAAGCAGCCACAGTCAAATTACTGATTGTTAATCAATTCTCTAGCTTTAAAGATATCCTTGAATTTTTTCAGATCAAAAACACATAGAAACTAAGTTGGTTCTTAGTTATTTCATGTATTTTCATCCATGTTCATAAATTCGGATGCACTAGCAAAACTAGCATCTCTTTGGCATCCTTCTGAAGCTCGAATTACTTTCAACTAAAACCAAACAGTGAGAAATAAGCTAAAACCCAAAAGACAAGCTAGGTTAAGAGACTTAAGGTCATTAAGAATAACTAAACTTGAACTAGACAAGCCTATCTATCACCTTTAACTAGTTACCAACACCACATTGAACAAATTACGATCTATCTGCACATATCACCAAGAAAATCGGTTGAAATAAACTTGAATATTACAATTGGCATTCATGTAATAGAAATATCAGCATCGCGAATAGCAGCAACAACAACAGCAATATTTATGCAAAAAAATAAAATTTTATTGATGGAAAAATAAAAACTTGCCATTCAAAAATCCATTTAAATTAAAATTCATCGATGATTTTTTATGATTCTTCTCTATACCTTATTCATCGAAAAAAAACGAATGCAAAAAAGAATCCAGAGTCGAGAAGAAGAATGGCAATATTTATTTGCTCATTCTTCTCGCATTGTTTTATTGCTTTTTCGCGGTATCAACTCGCGGGATATCCAACGGATTGTTTCTCTTATTCTTCTTGTTGTTTTTATATTTTTTAAAGTAAATAATAGAGATGTTTTGCGTATAATAATATAAGCAAGTAATAATAAATATCAACAACATGTATGCAAGTCGATTTGTAACATGAGGGCTTAATTCTCTTTGATGCTCCGTTAACATATTCCAATATATGTAAAGCTTTGATTTAATGATTATGTTTTTTTTTTCCTTTTATTTTCTTTTCTCTTTACATTTCTTCTTTTCTTCTTTGTGCGGTACCGTGGAAAAAGGATGCACTTTGATGATGAAGATCCTCACTCAACAAATATGAAGAACAACTTGAACAAACTGAGAAAGTTTATTTAAAGATTGGATTTCGTAAGGTTTTATATTTTGTGTCTTTTGCCGCCGCTCATTTTTTTACTGCTGGTGGAAAAGAAGAACAACTTTCTACCTTTTTAGTAGCGAAGGATAAATTTTTTGAGCTCGGTTTTCGCATGGCTATGAGAAATGTTTTGTTGATTTGAGAAGTGATTTGACTTGAATTCTTTAATTATATGGATGAATGAATGGTAAATTATGAGAATTATATTCTAAAATTTGTTCGGAGATATAAGTTCTATAAATGAAAACTTGCTCTTTTTTCTTACGTTAAATTGATTAGGGGTCGTTCACTTATGACGTCCGAAATTAACGGCCGTTTTCAAAAAACAAAAATGTAATGTAAAATGAATTTTCTTGCTGAACCCCCCCCCCCCCCCCCTTGGACGTCATAAGTGAACGGCCCCTTATTGAAGTCTTTATCTGATTGGTTAAGTCTTTACAGTTACTTTTTTTACAGTCAGAATTGACTTCAAAATTTGTAAAATAAACTCAAATATTTCCGTTGAAAATGATGCAAAATATTTATATTTTGATGCAAGAAAAGGTGCGAGAATTCAAAATATAATTGAACGTTATTATTTAAAAGTAATTTGCAACCGAATTTTTAAAAGCTAATAATTTAAAAATCAAAAAATGGAAACAAAAACCATCAAAATATCTAAAACTCTAAACCACGCTTATCTAACAGCACCAAAAATTCCTCTCAAACCACAAATGTCATCTAAACTTCTTCTTAATTTTCATTTTGTGTTGACAAGCATCTTCCTAAGTGGTGTAAATAATTCGTAAAATGCGTACTAAAGTGGATCTTCCGATGACTGACTGCACATATCGACAAAAGACAAAAAAAGAAGAGATGAAAATTATAAAAAAATAAGACAAAAAAGGGATCCGCCACACAATGAGTGTAGATTGTGGCGTTGAGTAGGACATGTGCTATGTTTATGTGCCGGTATCCTTTGAAATTTATTCAAAATGTCTCATTTCTTTTAATGGTTAGCGAAAAGCGGAATTAAGTAATTTATAAAGGCTAGGAAAGACGGGAAACTTTCAAAAATCAATTTTTATCGCTTAGCGGTGAGGAAAAATCACTTGAATGCTATTAAGTAGCATCATCACTGGTGATAATTTTCTCCAACAATAAGCGCGTCATTTTAACAATGTCTGTCATTTGACTTCCTCTCCATCGTTCTTCCCCTTATGCTATGTGTCTCGAATTCGGTTCCCGAGCGACGAAAATTAAATATGCAAAATTATTTTTTGGGATTTTTTTGATTAGTCATGGAAGTGACGGTTATTTAATAGAGTTAACTACTTCCTTTTTAGATAAGATTATATACTGTTGAGAACTCTTTGCAATGACTATCACAAAATTGATGGATTAGCAATTTGGATGTTCTTTAGGGTGCACTTCATTAACCATTACCTAGGGTGCACCTCATATACGTTAAGGCTATAGCTTTTAGACATTTTGATTTGTCAACAGTGTATTGTTGAGCAATCACTGTTCTAGAGAAACCTTAAGAGTACCAAAACCATTCACAGCTCGGGATTCTTCTTCCCTCAAATTCAATTCAACATCATTGAGTTTATATTATTACAATAAAAATAATATGAATTGTGTATTTATAGATAGACATACATACGTACAAACTACCAACCGAGAAAAATTTCCAAATTGAA